AGAGAGGGAGCGTGTATGGCTCCCAGGCAGGGGAGGGTGGAAAGTGACTTCACTGTTTCCATGGGCATGATGGTTTCCAGCTCATGAAAGAGATCTGCCATTTCCTTGATCCCCAAATTATCCCCGAGGGATGGGCAGAGCAGGGGATACAACCCGTATTTTCCAAGTCAATGAATTAAACCTTAAGACGTTTTGAGTGACTTGCCCAGAGTTACCACAGTGAGGCATGAAGATCTGGGGCAAAAATGTAGTTATTTCCCTGGGGACAGAGGTCCCTCAACACCTAGAGTCCTCTAGATCATGCCTTGGACCCTGAACTGAGAGCTCTTCTCATAAGCTTTGTCAAATCCTGCTGCCCCAATATTTCTTTGGGATGGTTGATGCCCTGGAGAGGTGGCAGGTGGCTTACTGCATTTACTCACCTGCTCTATTATCCCTGTGTTGTCACTTTGATTAGCGTTATGACCCATCAGACAAACACATAAATTCTCTTAGTTGCAATGCACAGTCTGAGATTTTACCTAAATCCACTCTTTCCACCCATCAGGTGATTCTCATCTGCCGACCTGGAGGTGGCCTGCCATGTAAGAGGACACACAGCATACCATGGAGCTGCTGCGTGCCCCAGTCCTGTGCACACTCACGCCTTGCTCCTGCTTTCCCAGCTCTGACAATCCCAATTCTGGCTTCCAAAGCAATCCTGTACTTCCCTCTCAGTTCTCAGACTTGCCTGAACTGTTCTACGTTTTAATCAGTGTTGTAGTGACCATGACTGAGCTGTGACATTTGACATATCATAGTATATTGTTATCTACTGATAGATTTAACAGCATGTAACTTCATTTTTCAGACTTTTAGGAACATTTCTGGGCTAGGTGTGCTGGCTCATGGCTGTAATCCTGACATTTTTGGAAGCTAAGGCAGGAGGATTGCTTGAGGTCAGAAGTTTGAGACCAGCCTGGGCAACATCGTGAGGCTTCTTCTCTACAAGACATATTTTAAAAATTAGCCAGGTGTGGTGGTGAGCTCTTGTATACCTAGCTCCGTGGAAGACTGATGTGGGAGGATCGTTTGAGCCAAGGAGTTTGAGGCTGCGGTGAGCTATGATTGTGCTACTGCACTCTAGCCTGGGTGACAAAGCAAGACCCTGTCTCTTAAAAATAAAAAGCATTACTGAGTTACAAGTATCTCCATTTTATTTCTCATTATCTAATGTTATTGTTTTAATCCTGAGGCTTAACTACTTTAATAAAGGAAAGATTTTTTTAAAAAGGTAGTATCCAAAGCAGCCCATATGTACCTTTTAATAAATTCTAGTTTTATATGCCCTATGTCTAGAATTTACATCCTTGATCTGACTCTTATTTTTTCAAACTTCAAAAAACTCAATTTATACTTAGAACCAGACTTCTCATGTGACACAAGTAAAATTCCCATATAACACCTAACTTAAAACATTGAGAGGATCAAATAATATGTAAGAGCCGTCTATATACTACATAATGTACAATCAATTACAAAGCAAAACTTTCTCAAATTAACTCAAAGGTCAAAAGTAAACAGTTAACATCCTTTAGAAAACCACAACAAAATAATATTTTGAGAAAATACGCAATTCGGCTACCCACTGAAGTTAAGGAGAGAACAGTCCCATCATCAAGAATTCCCCAGCGTTGTTTTTTTGTTTGTTTTAATAATCACACATTATTCCCCCTGCTTTCTTCTGTGTATATTACTGCGTGTTCTCCCTTTTTCCTTTTCTGTATAACCTATCTTGGGAATCAGTCGGTAGCAGTAAAAAGACATCTTACCCTTGTTTACAGCTCCGTAGTTCTCCTTTAGGCGGAAGAACCAGTTAATTTTACTAGGTCCTTACTAGACATTTCAGTTATTTCCCATATTGAGCTACGGAAAACAATGCGACAAGGACTTTCTGCATAGGTTGTTTCATATTTACGGAGTATACCTTCAGGATAAAACGCCTCCAAGTAGTGTTTCCAGTTTAACTGTATCTGCAAGGTTGTGAGATTGTGCCAAATTCCCCTTCGTGGAGTCGAGCCATTTTGCATTTTCACCAGCACTATATGAATGCAACTTCCCTTACAGCCAAACCAAAGAATGTATTGCCGTGTTCTTGGAATTTCCCTCAATAGGAGAGACACTGCAGTATAGTTGTCATTTGCCTTTCTCTTATGTGTGAAGACGTGTTTAAGGATCATCTGCATTTCTTTTTCTGTGACTTGTCTATTTACCACTTTATTATCTTTTACATTCACTTGAATCTAAAGATTCTCAAGTCAGCCTATTTCAGGTCATTGTTTGTCTCTTCACTGTTGACTCTCACCTGAACTACCCAACCAGCCTCCTAGCTGGTCTCCCTGCTTCCACCCTTGCCTGCATTACAGTGTATTCTCACAGAGCCGTGGTCTTTTTCTTGGAGAATTAACTGTGATCCCCAGGCTAGAATCCTCCAGTGGTTTCCCATCTCAACTAAAGTCCATACTCTTTGTCAGTGCTCACTGTGTGCACACGGCCTTAACCCATCACATTCATTTCACTCTGCTGCAACCACCCTTGTGTCTTTCTGTTCTTTGCCCAAAACAAGTTTTTTTCCCATTTCAGGAATTCCATGGAAGATATTCCTCTCTGGAAGCCCCTCCCATCATCCTCACAAGACTCCCCCTCACATTTTTATTCATTTTTTTAAAACAAATAAGATGGGCTCTCTCTCTGTCTGTGAAGGTGGGGATCTTCTGTCTTATTTCAAAAAGAAAGGGAGGCAACAAGCTTCAAGAGGCACAAAAACAGTCCTGAGAGTGTAGTCAGAGCTTCTCATTCCACTGCCAGCTACCGACTGAAGGCTGCTGGCCCAGGCTGATGCCTAGTACCCACAAAGCCTCCTATGTCACCTGGTTACCAGGAAGCAACCAAGTCAGGCTACTGGCTCACAGTGCCCCACCCCGCAGACCCACCCAATGGCTCACAATGCCCATCCCTGCTGCTGCCCACCTTGTGGCCACCCTGCCCATCTATGGTGACTGCACTATTCGTCCTGGGCTGCCTGAGCTTTCCAGTCCTGAGAAAAGTGCAGAGTGGGGGGGTTGTTATTGGAAGTCACCCTGGGCAATGAACTCCATAGAAAACCCTGGTTACTGAAGTCAGTCCATTAGCATCTCTGTTTTTCGGAGTCTGGCAGCTTTCATTTGCTCACAAATGTAGTTACACACAAATTTTGAACTGCTTTTGTAAGGAAATGCTTCTCTCCTGTCTTACAAGTGTTAGTTTTTGTCTTTAACTTGACCATAGCCACTCCCAGAGCCCTGGTCTCACTGTCAGTAAACAGTGATGACTGTGACTTGAATGAAAGCCTAGGACACATGACACTTTCCGTCCCTTGTCTATAAAATAGGGACTAAACTGTAGCAGAGCTGAAGAGACATTCATGTCAAAGTGGGAATTTTCAAGTCATCAGAGCTCCATGGCTAAACTCCTTTGGGTAAAACCAAAACAAAAACAACTTCTTTACGGCTCGGGCAGTAACATGTCATACCTTTCGGGGTCATTTTAAGCATGTCCCCCAATTTGTTTTTCTTCTTTGTTCAAATTACAATTGGAAGAAATAAAGAAGCTTCTGTCCATGTGACTCACTATTAGGAATAGCATATAGGCCGGGCGTGGTGGCTCAAGCCTATAATCCGAGCACGTTGGATGGCCGAGACGGGTGGATCACGAGGTCAGGAGATCGAGACCATGCGGGCTGAAACAGTGAAACCCCATCTCTACTAAAAAATACAAAAAAACTAGCTGGGTGAGGTGGCGGGCGCCTGTAGTCCCAGCTACTTGGGAGGCTGAGGCAGGAGAATGGCGTAAACCTGGGAGGCAGAGTTTGCCGTGAGCTGAGATCCGGCCACTGCACTCCAGCCTAGGCGACAGAGCGAGATCCATCTCAAAAAAAAAAAAAAAAAAAAAGGGATACCATATAATCTCTTCCATGGCAAACTCTGTTTTGAATTTAAGAATTCTCCACATATTGGAGTCTGAATTATCCCAGTTATTAGCTTACCTTGAGGAATGGGAGAAAAGAAACAACTGGGCCCTTGACTGGCTCGTTCACTTAGGGCCCAGACCAGCTGCATAGGTAAGGACAGAGAATGGGATGGGGACTCCAAAACTGGAGTATTTGAAATTTTACTGAGAAAAGGGAGGGACTAGGCCAAAAAGGCCTCAACTAAGAAGGCTCAACAACAAAGACAGAGGCAGAACCAGCCTTTGTCCCCCATGCCGAGCCCTGGGAAAGCCGGCTGCGGGCAGGAGGGAGCTGGAAGCTGAGGATGTCTCTGAGGGGGAGGGACGGCAAACGGGTGGGGGCGATGGGGGCCAGAGAGATGCCAGAGAGCAAATGGCACCCATGGCTTCTTTACCTTTGGGGAGCTCGGGGTTGCTCTGGTCCTGCACGGGATGGACCTCCGTGGCTCCCAAATTCAATCTGGCAGCCTCTGCAGCGGTGGATGCTGGTGCTGCGGCTGCCACAGCCTCAACAGTCTCAGATTCATTGCAGGGTCCCACGTTCAGCCTGCAGCAGTCACAGCTGAGGCCACAGCAGGGGCCCATGGGAGAACTCAGTTTGTTCCCTATGGGGCACCTGCACTGCTGTTTCCTCTCTCCTTAGTCCAATGCACTGTCTTGCCCAAGTGGTGTGACCCCAGGCGAGCCTGGAGCCTCAGCCACCACCTCTCACGGTGGCTGCTGTGAGTTGGGGAATTTTCCTGGATTGAAGGATGTCAACCAAAAAATGCTAAGGGACCCAAAAAATGCTGTCACAGAATATAGTCGGAGCTCCTCCTCCTTACCCTCCCAGCTACCGACTGAAGGCTGCTGGCCCTGGCTGATGCTTTGTACCCACAAAGCCTCCTATGTCACCTGGTTACCAGGAAGCAACCAAGTCAGGCTACTGGCTCACAATGCCCCACCCCGCAGACCCACCCAATGGCTCACAATGCCCATCCCTGCTGCTGTCCACCTTGTGGCCACCCTGCCCATCTGTGGTGACTGCACTCTTCGTCCTGGGCTGCCTGAGCTTTCCAGTCCCGAGAAAAGTGCAGGGGAGTGGGGGTTGTTGTTGGAAGTCACCCTGGGCAATGAACTCCATAGAAAACCCTGGTTACTGAAGTCAGTCCATTAGCATCTCTGTTTTTCTGAGTCCGGCAGCTTTCATTTGCTCACCAAATGTAGTTATACACAAATTTCTGACTGCTTTGGTAAGTAAATGCTTCTCTCCTGTCTTACAAGTGTTAGTTTTTGTCTTCAACTTGACCATAGCAACTCCTAGAGCCTTGGTCCCACTCTCAATAAAGAGTGATGACTGTGACTTGAATGAAAGCCTAGGGCACATCACACTTTCCCTTCCTTGTCTACAAAATAGGGACTGAATTAATCCTTCCCAGTTCTGAAATGCTAGGACCTACCAACTCTCTTTTCTCCCTCTGTTTCTTCCATGGCAGGGATATTCAGATATTTCTTTTACTAACAAGGCATAAGGCATGTTTTTCTTATACAAAATTGAGAACCACACAGTGGGATACCACTGTCCTCATTTGATGAAGACGAATAGTAAACGTCTGGCAAGCCTGACAGTGTTCCAACTGTGGCATACTAATTTAACCCCCAGAAACCATTCCATTTTATGGATTTTACAGAATCAATCTAAATGGAGAAGTTAAGTAGCTTCTCCAAGTTTCCATGACTGCTCAAGATGGGGCCACAATTTAATCCTGAGTAATCTGGATCCCCACAAGCCGATCACGATTATCAGAAAGTAAGGGCAGAAGTCCTGCTTGGAGGGGAAGTGACATAGTAGATTAGTGTTTTTTTTTAAAAGAATAACAGTTTTTTGATGTGGATTTTAAAATGCCTCCCCTTCATTCAACATTAAGTGTCTTGTAAGTTCCAATACTGCACGTGTGAAACAGTCCCAACCCTCAGTGAGTTCAGGCAGATGAGCAAACAAAGGGTTTAATTGTCTGAGGCTACACTGCTGGACAGTGAATCAACCTGGAATAAAAACGCAGATCTGTCTGACCCAAAATTTGGTGCTGGGGTAGAGTTTGAATTTTATTCTGGAAACGAGAGTCACTGAACCACACAGGGGCGAGGAGTCTCTCTCAGATGTGTTTGCAGTGACGTCGCTCTGCACAATGGAGAGGACTTGATGAAAGCAGTAGGGCTGATTAAGAGACCCTATGTTCGTCTGGAGAACAGTAAGGCTAAAGGCAGTGGCAGTGACTGAAGTAGAAGGAAAAGTTTTGTGGTCATTTGGGAGATAGAACAGGAAGTGCTTGGTGATTAGACGAGGAAGAAGAGGGGGAGGAAAAACAGGCTGCTAAGGCCCTAGTTTGATGGACTGTGTAAATGGCAGTGATTCTCCCCTAGACAGAGAATGTAGGAAGAGGAATAGGTGTGCGGAATGAGACAGTTTTGAACTCTTTAAGTGTCACATTGAAATGGACCCCTCAGGTTGAAAATTGGATATAAACCTCTGTAGGCTAAGTCCATGCTGTGACATCCCAACTCATGTTTTCAAAAGTAACACACACACAGTAACTCAAACCATTAAGGAAATTTCCTACAATTTACATACTAAGAATATGACAATTTTTTAGTGATTACTTTCTTAGGGAAACTTTGAATTTATGGTTGTACAAATGAGGTGTCGCGTAAAATAAAACTGTTATATAAGAACAACATTTAAATTCTATTGTCATAACAGCATATAGAAAACAATGGAAGCCATGGGTATGACCATGATTGCTTTAAAAAGCTGTGTCTAATAAGGGGAGGGGTTTGGAGAGAAAGGAGACTTGGGGAATGGGGAAATGTACGTGGCATGAAGTAAAGCCTGCAAATGTGGAAAGTGAGAGTCAAGGCACCTGAGTGTTCATCAGAAATGGCTGATCTGGTGAGTCTCATCAGAATGGAGGTGGTGTCTACTTCTCATTTCTGTGATGGCTGCACCTAGCGTAGTGCCTGGTCAGTAGGTACTTTATACCTAATACCCCAATGAACAGAGTCATATTTTGCCAAGAAGGCAGAAAAGCCCCAAATGCCATTGCCTGTGGCAACTCAGTGATTGTGGATGTCTGTGAGTAAGCTGAGTGTTAGCAGTGGGGAGAGAGTGAACCAGAGGTGAGAAAGTAAAGATATCAACTGAGGGCTTCTCCTCCTAAAAGTTTGGCTGAAAGGGAGATGGGGGAATAGTTAAAGGCAGATATATGGTTAAAAAAGCTTTCATTTCCTCCCACCCCCCACCGAATAAAGGTGAGTATACTTTTATGTTAAGTGGTAAGAACCAATAAAGAAAACATGTTTACAATTGGAAGAGAAGGGAGAATTAATAACACATCATGCCCAAGAACGCACAAGTTCATGCAATCCACAATGAGGACAGATTAGCTTTGGACTGATACAAAATCAAGAAGGGAGGAAGCACCGTGTGACTAGAGACATTTCTTCTAGAGGAGAGGTTTAGAAAGAGCTCTTTTCATGACCAGTTTCTCTCTGTTTCAATAGATTTTTCAGATAACTACTCTAGGAAAGAGGCAATTACGTATAGAGAAGTCTGCACTTTAGAAAAGCTTGATACACGGTACAAACCCCAAACAGTGTCTTTCCTCAAGAGTGAGTAAACTGAAAAGCAATTTGAGCAAAACCAAGCGGCTCATATACAAATAGGTGCATCACAGAAGTTGAAGAGGGGTCTAATTAACTCCCTCAGAGTTAAAAGAAAAAGCAACAACTGGGGGAAGAGTGAAAAATAAGAATAAAAGTATATGTAGTTGGAAAAAGTACGAATGTTTACAAACCCTGTGACCACAAGAGAGACCACAAAAGGGGCCACAGGGAGTGTGATCGCAGGAAGAAAAGGGTTGCTTCAAAAAGCAGAGGAGCAGGGCTAAGAAAGATTCCACTTAGTTGAAAAGATTTAAGTAAAGTTTGAGGACAGTTAGGTGACATGTTGAAATGTGGAAAACCACAGTGGAAGGGGAAAAGACCCGATAAAGTTCAGTTTCAGCAACCAACATCCAATGAAATCCTCAGGATGCAGTGACTGCATTCTATGTAAATAATAATATTGGCTCAGGTCCCAGGAATGTCATTAGATAGCATTTTGAATGATTCTTATGGACTTGAGGTGAGGTCTATTTTGTTACAAATCAGTGCCTGCATTTAACAGCAGACATACAAATGAAAACTGAAGAATTTAAAACTTGCTAAGCAGGAATATACTGAGAAGCACTGTTATGAAAATAGATTTTAAAACATTTTTTTGAGGGAAATTTCGGAGCACATTTAAAAAAAACACTATCCTTCTATGGCAGGTGCAAGTTTGGCAGAGTAAAGGAAGGCAGATAGAAGTAATGTGACTTAAATTAATCAAGAGTTATATTCTGTGAAGGAAGCTGAGACCTTATTTATTAGTGGGTCTGGAGTAACTTCATTTATTCATCCATTCAATACTCATTCAATACCTGCATCCTTAGCACATGACACACACTTTGAAGTCTTGTGGAGGTTGCTTTGACCAAGGTAAACAAGATTTCTGTTCTTGTGTAACTTGTCTAGTAAGGGAGTCAGCAGACAGTGTGCTGCTATCTTTGTGGCCTAGGGTGTCTGCTTTCGTATATTCATTCCAGATACCAGGATGGAGGAAAGGAAGAAGAAGGAAGACTTTGTGGAAGTTCCATAAAGCACAATGCCTACAAATCATTGGCTTAAAGGTTCGTCATATGGCCATACCTGGCTATCGGGGAGACTCAAAGAAAAACCATAATCATATCTCTATGGTGACCAATGCAGCAATAACAATTTGTTATTGATAGGCAAGTAGCGGTCTATTCCAAATCTCTAAGGAAAGATTAGGGATTTTCCGCTTAAGGGAAGAATAATCACAATGAAATTTCGTAACCCTTTGCAACCACATTTTTAAAAATACTAAATTTTTAATAAGAGCACAGAAATAAATGGAGAGGTTAAACTACAGAATAAAACTTTGAGTTGCATGCAAGAAAGATTTTATGGCAGTCGAGAGATCAAGGTTATACAGTATGTGTGTCATTGTGACTAATGAGTTCCATCCTGGGTATCATGATGACATTTTTAGGTGCCATTTTTGATGAGAATTTTCTAGGTGTTCTATAAATTCCTGTTCCATCAGAAGCTAATAATAATGTTCCACATTCTTCAGTCACTTTAATGGCTTCTTTTAAAGTTTTCAGTTTTTTAGTTTAGATAAACCTAGTATTCATGTTTGGGTATTGTCTCCTTGAAGCTGCTGTAATCCATCCTCATAATGAATCAAAGAGGTTTTGGTGATAAATATAAGTTCATTATTCATTTCTCACATGTACAAGAGGAACAGGTTTTGTGAGCAAGAAAATTCTCATAGTAGCCGGAATGGATCCAAATACAGCAAAGTTCAGATAGTACACTCTACTTATTAAACCTCTACCCTGGCTTACCAAACAAAGCAAAGAAAGGAGTCACAATATACTAATAATATCTGTTGAAGAGGAGTCATTACTGCTGAACCTATTAACATTAAAATAATACTAAAGAAATAGTTTGTATAAATCTATGCTTACAGTTTGATACCTTAGATGAAATAGGCCAATTCCTTCAAAGGCAGAAACTACCAAAAGTCTTCTAAGGAGGAGCAGATAAAATGAATAAATCCATACCTATTTTAGAAGTTGAATCAATAAAAACTTTTCAAAAAACACCCACTGAGTCTAAATGGCTTCACTGGGAAATTCCATCAAATTTGTACAAGGAAAACATAGTCTTATCACACTTAGCAAGTAATCATAAACCTAAGTGTTTGCTTAGTTACAGTAAGTAAATTTATGTTAAAAAAAAACTGCACAGAAAGGTTTATAATAGCGATATTGATAATTTCCCAAACTGAAAGCAAATTCTAAACATTTGAGATGTACTTTACCATAGAAGTTAACCAAAATTTTAATTCTCAATGTGTAATCATACCACTATTTGTTGACTTAATATAGTTAAATTTGCACTCATTAAATAAAAGAGGAATATGACATACCATTTTTAGACTCTTGACTCTAGCATGGAACACAGAGTAAAGTGGAATCATTTGCTTAAATAAACTTAGTAATTGAATTTCCACATGACCATCAATGAATTGTCCACCATGGTGGATTTTCTCTTGTGTCCAGATGCAGTTTTTCTTCATCCACTGCTTGGGGCAGGCAGCAGATCTTCTGGAACACTGAGGACACAGCCTCATATTCTTGAGGAAAAATCCTAGGGAATGTATTATATAAAGAGAGCTGTTGATATCTTGCTTGCAGAAGACCACAGAGAAATTAGCGATACTTTATTCACAGACATAGCTTTTGATCCCATTTTTCACCATCTGCATAGCAAAGCCACCTGAATCAGAGTTGGGCCATAGGAAGATCTCGAAAGTTTGGTTGGATTTAAAACCAAACTGACTGACTGTGCAGGCAGATACCTCTATTTCGATGAGGCAATACAGAAAGGCAGCAGATCCAAGACACTAAGAATGGCTTGGGTTCAAATCCTACTTAGAATCTGCACATACCTGGGAGAGTGATGTGAACGCCTCTGTGCCTCAGTTCCCTATTCTGAGACATGGAAATGTTAATATGGTCTATGCTATAGTATGGGGTCAAAAATCAATACAGATAAAGCCTTAAGAAGATGCATGCTTCATGAATGTCTTACGACATTTAGGGCTCAATTATTAAGTGTCTGGAAGAATAAACCAGATACTTGGTAGTGGTTGAATACAAGAGGGAGCTTGCATAGCTCCAGGGCAGTGGAGGGTGGAAGGTTACTTCACTCATTTTGTGGGCATAATGCTTTCCAGCTCATGGACGGTATCTGTGATTTCCTGTGATCCCCACAAAGGAATTTGTGGTAATTTTGCCCACTAGCCCCAAAGGATAGGCAAAGCAGGGACTACAACCCATATTTTTCAGATCAGTGAATTAAAATGTAGACATTTTGAGTGACTTGCCAAGAGTCACAACAGTTAGGAGTGATGGATATGGGATAAGAATGTAGCTGGTTAGGCCGGGCGCAGTGGGTCATATCTGTAATCCCAGCACTTTAGGAGGCCAGTGTGGGTGGATTACCTGAGGTCAGGAGTTCAAGACCAGCCTGGTCAACATGGTGAAACCCCATCTCTACTAAAAATACAAAGATTAGCCGGGTGTGGTGGTGCACGCCTGTAGTCCCAGCTACTTGGGAGGCTGAGCAGGACAATCACCTTAACCCAGGAGGCAGTGGTTCCAGTGATCCGAGATTGTGCCACTGCACTCCAGCCTGCGTGACAGAGCGAGACTCCATCTCAAAACAAAACAAAAAAGAATGTAGCTGGTTCCCTGGGAATGCTTCTGAAAGCTTTGTCAAATCTTCCTGCCCCAATATTTCTTCAGGAAGGTTGATGCCCTGGAGGAGGGGGCAGAGGCAAAATCTCAAATTATAACACAGCCTTTTGCCTGCAGGTCTCTAACCCTACCCTAAAATCTGACAGTTTTCTTCAAACAAAGCCTCTCAAAATGGCAAGTTCAATTGTGTGACCTCCTTCCCCAGCATCTTTGCACCATCAGCTGCCTCGTGGGGAGCCTCCCCATGACCAGCTAGCTGATCACTCCAAGTGACCACTGTTTGGCTTAGGTCCCAAGCTGGCTCAGAACTGAGGATATTACAAACCAACTGCCACAGGATGGCCGTGCCAAGAATTAACTTCCCTTCCACTGACCAAGCCTGGATGAGCAGTTAATAGAAATTAACTGGGATGTGGCCTGCTGAACTGGTGCTATGTGGTTTAATGGGTTGAGTCTGTGACCCCCACTGTTTCACTGACTTCTGATCTCAGCAACTGTGTGAGCAGCCTGGACTAAGGCCTGGCTGAGAATGGGAGGCAGCTGCTCCAGCACAGATTGTGCACCTTCCTGCTCATGTCCTTTCTCACTAAGACTCAGGCTCTACTATTCAAGGTCCTCATGCATCCCTAGGCCCTGCCCAGGTAGAGGGCAGAGCCCGTTTTCTTATTAGATGGACATCGTTACAGCCTGGAGAACCCATCCCAGGACCTTCCTGAGGCCCAGTCAGGCCCTCCTTTCCTCTGTCACCAAATGTCCATTTCACTAACCCAATGGCATTGTCCCTTCTCACCACTTTCCCAGGCATCACTCAAAAAGCCAGTGATCCTGTTGTCATCAACCCCGTGGTAATTCTGCCATGAAATTCCAGTTTCTTGCCTTTCTAAAACTCTCTAGACTCAGACTGCTGTAACATGTGGCTTCAGAGGTTGACATCTACATTCAGAAGAGTTTGGCCTCTAATTCTCTTTTCCTGGAAAGTCTACCTTGCATTTCGTATCAAGATTCTCCTGATCTGATGAAGGCAATGTGGGTGTGTTTCTTCCGTTCCCTGTTCTCCAGAAGAGTGTGTACAAAGTTGGCATTAGGAAATAGTACATTTTTCTAAATTGAAGGCAACTAACTTGATGGAAGATTTAAAAATACAAATTGATTAATCCAACAAAACTCTAAAACACATTTATAAATCTATACACAAAATGTTGAAGGAGGAAGTAAAAAATTTGAAATATATTGAGTACATGGTAACTGGCCCATCTGAAGAAACAGCAGTCAGAAGATCAAAATGGCCATAGCTCCCGATCAGCAATTTAGATGGCCCATCTGGAAGAAATCGTGTTATAAAGCTGAGAGCACCGCAATTCCCATCAATAAAGTTGAGAGCTCTGCGATCGCTATGAATTTCAACCTCTCCACTCTCAAGACTAACGGTTGAAATGGAAGGCAAGAGGTATACCCCCCACATTACCATGGCAACAGGTCCTACAAAATATTAAAGTGAACAGAGGCCACACTAGAGGCCACACCACACCACACCACACTAGGGGGTCCAACTGCTGCTATCTAAACAGGTGTAGTAGTTTTACATTTACAATTATGTCACATAAGAGTACATGTTTGGTTTTAAAGCCTGAACCCCAAGCCCACACATTGTTATTTTCTGTTTATGGAAATCAATTACAACAGAAAAAAAATGACCTGCTCCTCATATACAGTTGATAATGAAATTTTCAGGGTGAAAAGGGACAAAGATAGCATGTTGGAAAAAAAAGAGGTTCCATTCTTGATTAGAAATACCATCCCCCTCATTTCTACTATTCCTGAGTTATCAAACTTTTCTACATCAAACAGTGTAAAATTTGTGCCAGACTAAATTTTTAAAAGTAATATAAACTAAATTTTTAAAACTTAGTGTCTTTCTGTAAGAATAGAATTATGAAATTATATAAATCCTACTCATCACCTATATATATAGTGCCTGTTTTATTTTTGTATGCAACTAAATCTGTGTACTCAATTCTTCCTCAATTCCTGTGACTTAATTTAGCAATCTCTATTGCGTTGTATATGTGAAATATTGGCTATTCCTTGAGTAATTTAAAAGAATAGTCCCTCTGCATTCACCTGTGGGTTGACCGAAAACATATAATGGATGCTTTTTTAAATGGAGAGATTTAGATAACTTCAAACTCCAAAATTAAATTTGTGCTCTGGTTTATACTTCTCTGTGTAGTCACAGCCATTCTATTGATCTGATCATGGATATGAGCTATAAGGAAGTTGATTGACAAACCCTCAAAAACGTGTGTCAAGTAAAAATTTTAGGATAAAAGCAAGAGTGTTGTCATGAAAAGTTGGAACCCTTCAGGAGGTGAACCACTTCAGTGCAAATCTCTATCACTGCTGATTCACCTCACATTTCCAGAACTAATGAATCAAACAGACCATTGATGAGGTATAAAAGTCCCTTAACATAGGTAGTGCCATATTTTCTAAAGGAATTGTCCAGTTGAGTGTCTCATTGAGAAGGTATGGGACAGAACAGGTGATACGACGCTGTGGTAAGTAGAGGATTTTAATAATGCCCAGTTGGTTAGTAAACTGTGTATGTCTTTGTGTGTGTGTTATTCCAAGAGCCCCTTTGCATGCCAGTTTTTGTCAAGCCCCTTTTACCATACTTAAGTGAAACTGACCCAGCACATCACAAAATGCCTGAAATCAAGGGTCTGCAAACAATGGCCTCAGATAGGCTGCTTATTTTCCTTGCCCGTGGCGGCATTGGTGCAGGGTCTGATGTTAAGGATGCTGTCACACACCTCAAAGGTAGGTGGCCAGCTGTGTGCCCGACTGGGCCTTGCTGCCATACACTTCAATCTCATCCATGTCGTCCTGTGACAGGGACTTGTCCCTGGCTCACCAGCTGACGGTGTGTCTACTCACTTCTTCTCTGAGGGAGGCTCTTCCTTGTCAGCAGCCTCACAGATGGCACTGGCCGGGGGCTCCTGCAGCTTCTCCGTGTTCTTGAGGAGGAGGGAGTTGCCCAGGTGAGAACCCAGGAACAGGTACACAGGCTCCATGGTGACCATGCTGGTGGTGAGGACGCTGGTGACCGCCTTGTCAAAAGTGGAACGCTTGGATGCTGCACATGCCATCGGTGATGAGGGTCAGCACTTAGATCTCACCGTGCTTGAAGGAGATGACAGTCTTGTCATAGAAGATGAAGGTGGCCTGGGCACAGTCCAGGATGATCTGCACAGCCATCTGGGTGTGCAGTGGGAAAGCCATGGCGCCTGTGGTGAGGCTGTTGAGAGCCACGCCCTATGGGGGAACTCTCTGGTTCAGAACAGCAAGCTGACGACAAAGACCACCACCCCACCTATGGACTTGGGCACGGCCAGAGCCTGCATGCAGTCAGTGGGTAGCTGGTGAGGGACCAGATGATGGGGTGCACCTTCTACGTGATGTCAGCAAGATGGCCACAAAGCAGCACTGTCTGCTGCAGTCATTGTCCACCATTGCAGTGCGGCTCACTGGCTCCGCCTCCAGGGTTCACGCCATTCTCCTGCCTCAGCCTCCTGAGTAGCTGGGACTTACAGGCGCCCGCCACGACTAATTTTTTGTATTTTTAGTAGAGACGGGGTTTCACCGTGTTGGCGAGGATGGTCTCGATCTCCTGACCTCGTGATCCGCCACCCTCAGCCTCCTAAAGTGCTGGGATTACAGGCATGAGCCATCGCGCCCGGCCAGGACTGGATTCTTTCTTTGGGAAACTGATGTGGTAAAAGTGTCTATACTGGACTGTCCTGCCACATGTGGCTCTTGAGCACCTGAAATGGGGCATCTAGAATTGAGATGTGCTTTCAGCATAAAATGCACAATGGATTTGGAAAATGTAATGAGAAATAGAGAATGTAAAGGATGTTGTTAAGATCTTTTATTTTTGCTTTTTTTTTTTTTTTTTTTTTTGAGATGGAGTCTCACTCTGTTGCCCAGGCTGGAGGGCAGTGGCGTAATCTTGGCTCACTGCAACCTCTGCCTCCCGGGTTCATGCCGTTCTCCTGCCTCAGCCTCCTGAGTAGCTGGGACTACAGGCGCCCGCCACCACGCCCGGCTAATTTTTTTGTATTTTTAGTAGAGACCGGGTTTCACCGTGTTAGCCAGGATGGTCTCGATCTCCTGACCTTGTGATCCACCCGCCTCGGCCTCCCAAAGTGCTGGGATTACAGGCATGATCTACCACGCCCAGCCAAGAACTTTTAAAGGTTGGCTGGGTGCAGTGGCATGTGCCTATAGTCCTAGCTCCCTGGGAGGCTACATCGGGAGGATCACCTGAGCCCAAGAGGTTGAAGCTACAGTGAGCTGTGATCGTCCCACTGCACTCCAGCCTGGGTGATGGAGGGAGACCCTGTCTCTTAAAAACAATTTTAAAATGGATTTCATGCTGAAATAACATTTTCTGTGTTAAAATTTTAATTTTGTTCTTAATTTATTCTCACCTCTGCTCTGCTAGGTTGTCCCCTGGCCTCCAACTGCTTCCACTGACAACTCAGTTGGAGGGAGCTCCACTTACAAGGGGTTTTTGTGTAGAGTATCCCTCCTCCCACCTTATTCACATCCTGCTTATCATTCTTAATCCAATCAGATTTTGATTTAATTATGCCATATATTAGATTTTTACTGAAGTCATAAGCAGATTGCCACAAAGGAGATCATCCTCACTGAAAGGTTTTCAAAGGTGATATGGACAAATATTGCCACATAATTCTAAATTAGGTCTTGTATATGGTGGGTGTTGATAAGATTTGGGATCGGGATTGAAACTATTCAAACAAAATATTTGGCATCAAAATTGTTATGAATGGAGCTAATTTCAAATTGTTTTTGATCATGAAAATAAAAACTCATAGTTTGATTAAGAAAATTAGTCAAACTTACTCAGAGAAAACCACATTCATTAGACCAGTCGTTTATCAAAAAGGACTTACTCTTGTAAAGATACACGTTTAGAAGAGGTTGAATTCACTTCCACATAATACATTGTAAATATATTTTTTCTTCATTATGATTTTCTTAAGAACATTTTCTTTTGTCTAGCTTACTTTATTGTAAAGACACAGTATATAACACATATACGAAATATGTGTTAACTGACTTGATATTATGGTAAAGCTTCCAATTCATCCTTATTATTGGGAAGTCAAAAGTTATGCACAGATATTGGACTGCCGGGGGCTCAGTGCCTCTAAAACTCACGTTGTTTAAGGGTTAGCTGTATCTAAAAATCTCAAGGACATTACCTGTGGCCAATATTTATAATTTTTTCTTTGCTTTCAGACAAAATCATTCCTGTACATTTAATTTCATTAATATTACTCCCTATATTTGTAAATAGCTTGTGCTTAATCTGTGAAGTGTGAATAGGTTTTAGTTTTTGCATGACTCTTGCAGACATATTTAACCACATTTGATGAGTGAAGTGATAGTGAAACTACCTGGGGTTTTCTCTCAGCTGCCTCCCTCTTCTCTGTCTCCAGGTGACGCTGGGTGGAAGTTTACGAAGAGACCCGGTCCGGATTCAAGCTTTCTGTTCCCATTCTCCTTTCTGAAATGCCCACCAAAAGCCACGGACCCCTGGCATCTCATGACCACTCGGTTAGTCATCATTTCTGTTTTTTAATAGCTGAGGATATCCTGACTACCTGCTCCCCACAAGATTATTACAAATTATACTAGTTTAAATTCAAAGGCAAAGTTTCCCCCTTCCTGCTCCCTGGAAACCTTTGTCCCTGAATGACATGGCTAAATGGCTAAGCTCCCCTGCACCCAATGCGCTGATGAAGTGTTTCTTCCTGTAGGAGCCTTTCCTTTTGCCCCAAGGCGGATCCTTTCTCTTTTGTTCTCCCCTGACAATTTATAAACACTTGTAACAGAATCTGTTACTATTCTTATTTGTATTGATGTGGTCTTAAAAGAGACAGTTGAGAGCTGTATCTGTGGCCTACATTTTGTTCTGTTTTTGTTTTGTTTTTTCTTTTTTTTTTTTTTTGAGACAGAGTCTCACTCGGTCACCCAGGCTAGAGTGCAGTGGCATGATTTCAGCTCACTGAACCCTCCACCTCCCGGGTTCAAGCGTTTCTCGTGCCTCTCCCTCCCGCAGAGCTGGAATTACAGGCGTGTGCCATCACACCTGGCTAATTTTTGTATTTTTAGTGGAGAGGGGGTTTCACCATGTTGGCTGGGCTGGTCTCGAACACCTGGCCTCAAGTGATCCACCCACCTCAGCCTCCCAAAGTGTGTGGCCTACATTTTGGATATGAAATATGAAAAATATTTACCAAAAAATAGACAACAAATAATTACTATTGGATCCATATATAATTTAATCAGTCTGGTTTCCTTCATATTTCCTCTTGCTTTTCATCCTCCTTGCAGTTTCATGATTCTCTGGAGGTCATCTAAAACAAAAACATAATTTAAGGAAGCAAATTTTTTTTCTTGAGACGGGATCTTGCTCTGTTGCCCAGGCTGGAGTGCAGTGGTACAATTACGGCTCACTGTAACCTCAAACTCCTGGGCTGAAGCCATCCTCCTGCATCAGCCTCCCCAGTAGCTGGTACTACCAGTGTGTGCTACCAAGGCTGGTTAATTTTTAAACTATTTTGTAGAGATGAGGGTCTCACTATATTGCCAGAACTGGTCTTAAGCAATCTTTCCACCTTGGCCTCCCAAAGTGCTGGGATAACAGGTGTGAGCCACCAAACCTGGCAAGGAAGCAAATTTGATTTTACGTCATCCAAAGACTAACGCAAAGGAAGTGTATCTGAGTTGTAGTACGTCAGTAAGTGGAAATATTAAGATTCTATGTAAATTATTTGTGATTTCCTTTCTGAGAAGAAAGAGACTACAATTCTCATTATACATGTGCTTTTCAAACATTTCCAAACTTGCGATGAAAAAAAGAAAGAAAATATGAGACAGTGACTATATTTGAGGTCTATTCTTTCAACAGACTATAAACATGTGGGGTTCACACATTTTGTCAGCCAACAACAGGTTCAAAATACATACATTCTTAGTGTTAACAAGGGCTATAAAAAAGTGTAGAACAGCCATCAGTAATATTTTTGTGTTAATATGAATTCTAGGCTTGGATAAAACACGCGGGATATGATTTATTACAACTCTAGATGTCTGCTTTTTAAATGTTATTTCTTTTTTAGGACTTCAGTCTGATTAAATGTTATTTCTTTTTTGGGACTTCGGTCTGATTAATAGATGTCTTCTTTATCTCTTTTTCTCTGGTTTCTTGTTTGTTTTGCTTTGTTTTGTTTGAGACTGGGTCTCTGTCACCCACTGCTGCTGGAGTGCAGTGGCATAATCATGGCTCACTGTAACCTTAACTTGCTGGGCTCAGATGATTCTCTCACCTCAGCCTCCCAAGAAGCTGGGACCACAGGCACATGCCACTATGCGCAATGAATTTTTTCTATTTTTTGTAGAGATAGGAGTCTCATCATGTTGCCCAGGCTGGTCTAGAACCTCTGGCTCAAGTGATCCTCCTGCCTTGGCCTCCCAAAGTGCTGAGATTACAGGCGTGAGCCACCACACCTGGTTGAGATTTCTTAGTTCTATTGTATTCTCTAATACAAAAAAAGAAAGGTCATCATCCAGTTTTAAGTGCTTTCAGGGCAATTTCTTTTTTTAAATTTTTTTAAAATTATACTTTAAGTTCTGATACAAGTGCAGAACATGCACGTTTGTTACATACGTATACGCTTGCCATGGTGGTTTGCTGTGCCCATCATCAACCCATCATCTACATTAGATATTTCTCCTAATGCTATCCCTCTCCCAACCCCCAATCCCCTGACAGGCCCCCATATATGATGTTCGGCGTTCATGTATTCTCATTGTTCAACTCCCCTTATGAGTGTGAACATGTAGTGTTTGGTTTTCTGTTCTTGCGATAGTTTGCTAAGAATGGTAGTTCCCAGCTTCATCCATGTCCCTGCAAAGGACATGAACTCATCCTTTTTATGGCTGCATAGTATTCCATGGTGTATATGTGCCACATTTTCTTTATCCAGTCTATCACTGATGGTCATTTGGTTTGGTTCCAAGTCTCTGCTATTGTGAACAGTACCACAATAAAAATACGTGTGCATGTGTCTTTATAGTAGAATGATTTATAATCCTTTGGGTATATACCCGGTAATGGAATTGCTGGGTCAAACTGTATTTCTGGTTCTAGATCCTTGAGGAATTGCCACACTGTTTTCCACAACGATTGAACTTATATACACTCCCACCAACAGTGTAAAAGTGTTCCTATTTCTCCGCATCCTCTCTAGCATCTGTTGTTTCCTGACTTTTTAATGATTGCCATTCTAACTGGTGTGAGATGGTATCTCATTGCAGTTTTGGTTTGCATTTCTCTAATGACGAGTGATGATGAGCTTTTTTTCATGTTTCTTGGCCGCATAAATGGGTAGACTGCATGTTTCTAAGGAACCGGTTCATTTTATCTGGGCTAACCAACTTGTTGGCATACAAATGTTTATAGTATTCTCTTAAAATATTTTAAATTTTTATAAAATCAGTATTGAGGCAGGGCTCAGTGGCTCATGCCTGTAATCGCAGCACTTTGGGAGGCTGAATCACTTGAACCCAGTGTTTGAGACCAGCCTGAACAACATGGTGAAACCCTGTCTCTAACAAAAAACAATAAACACAAAAACTAGCCAGGCATGGTGGTGTATGCTTGTAGTCCCAGCTACTCAGCAGGCTGTGCATGTGCTCCAGCCTGGTCGACAGTGATACTTTGTCAAAAAAAAAAAAGAAAAAAATGTAGGGCCAGGCACAGTGGCTCACACCTGTAATCCCAGCACTTTGGGAGGCCGAGACGGGTGGATCACGAGGTCAAGAGATTGAGACCAGGCTAACACGGTGAAACCCCGTCTGTACTAAAAATACAAAAAACTAGCCAGGAGAGGTGGCGGGCACCTGTAGTCCCAGCTACTCAGGAGGCTGAGGCAGGAGAATGGCGTGAATCCGGGAGGCAGAGGCTGCAGTGAGCCGAGATCACACCACTGCATTCCAGCCTGGGTGACAGAGAAAGACTCCGTCTCAAAAAAAAAAAAAAAAAAAAAGGCAGTAATGTATGCACTTTTATTTCTGACTGTAGGAATTTGAACTTTCTTTTGTTTTTTGCACTTGGACGTTCTGTACATGTATCCCAGAACTTAAAGTATAAACAAAAAAAGAAACATGCAGTCCACCAGCTGTGAGTCATGAGGAAGGAAACAACAGACCTGGAACTGGTAAGAAGACTTGAGTCGATAATCAAAAACTTGTTGATAAAGAAGAGCCCTTCAGCGGGGACACAGGCCCCCTGGACCTGTCCTGCCTGGCCCCCGAGGCTGCATTTACCCACCTGCCTGCAGAAGGTGGGCCATCAGGGTAACTAGAAGCTGCCAGCCATCAGTTTTCACAGTGAGGCCCCCCCGAGTCCCTCTCATCAGACCTGCTGTGAGCAGCAACCTGTGGCTGTGGCTGTGACTGGCAGAGGTGTCTGGGGGTGGGGCCAAAGTAGTCCCTTGGAGCCCTCACACACTATTGGTGGGAATATAAATTAGTACAACCACTATGGAGAACAGTGTGAAGACTCCTCAAAAAACTACAATTAGGGCCACCATGTGATCCAGCAATCCCACTGTTGGGCATATGCCCAAAAGAAAGAAAATCAGTGTATTGAAGAGATATTTGCACTCCCGTATTTATTGCAGCACTGTTCACAATAGCCAAGATGTAGAAGCAACGTAAGTGTCCATCAACAAATGAATGGATAAAGAAAATGTGATGTATATGCACAATGGAATACTATTCAGGCATAAAAAAGGAAGTCATGTCATTTGCAACAACATGGATGGAACCAAAGATTATTATGTCAAGTGAAATAAGCTAGTCACAGAAAGACAAACACCTCACGTTCTCACTTGTTTGTGGGATCTAAAAATCAAAACAGTTGAACTCATGGACATAGAAAATAGAAGGATGGTTATGAGAGGTTGGAGAGGGTATTGTGGAGCTGGGAGGGAGGTGAGGATGGTGAATGGGTGCAAAAAAATAGAATGAATAAAACGTACTATTTGATAGCACAACAGGGTGACTAGAGTCAATATTAATTTAAGTGTACGTTAAAAAACAAACACAAAGTTGCCCCCTGGCTTTGCTCCTTTGGGGGAGAGTTGTACAAACTGGACTAGTGGCCCAGCACCCTGGGCGACCATCCTGTGCTGGCCAGGCTGTGCCAACTTCATCTGGCTGGAAGTTCGGGGCGGCAGGACTCTGACCCTGCCTCTGCTAAGGGGCTTCCCCAACCAATGCCATTTAGTGGGACGCTCTGGGTGTGGACCTGAAAGTTCCAGCTCTCTGCCTTGCCATGTGAATGTATTCTTTGCACCACAAGCACCCACCTTGCTCATGCCTCGCTCCTGTCTCACTCCTGGGAACAACGGGTGGACAATTGCTTTGGGGGCTGCAGAAAGAAAGCTAAGTGGACTGAGTAGGGGCCTGTGAAGGGGGCAGGAGGATGGACTTTCAGAGGCTAAGGAGTGGGCAGCTTAAGGTTGCAATGGCAGAGGGGGCTTTGA